CAGCCTTCTGGTTAGCAGTCAAGTGCTTTAGCCACTATGATACCAGAGCTCCTCGGAAAGAGCACTAAGTAGTGGTATTTCCCAGAACTCTTGAGTTATGTAATTGAGGGTTTAAAAAGAAATTATCAAGGCAAGGTTGATTCAACGCTCACCTTCCTTTTCTACAGGTTTCACTGCTGCAGGACCTTCTCCACACTATCCTTCAAGGAACAAAATTTGATGGTGAAGGAAGCAATAGTCATCAGCACAGTTTAGTCTTTGATGTGGTAGAAGTTTTCTACAGCATTGTTCATTATTTCTATTTGAGACTTGTCCCATAAACTGTACTTACTTGCAGGGAGGAAAACATCCTTATATAAACCTCCAGACAATCATCTGGCTTGAATGCAAATGTATTTCCATTCATGCTGGGGAAATGGACTAAATGTGCTGACACGATTTGCTCCCTTCTGATTTCCTCCCTAGTTTAATGAGCCTCTTGAGGAAAGAAATTACTGAGCCTGTGTTTGCATTGTGTGTCAAGGAACTAATATTGTAAACACTGAAACCCATTTCTACTCAGATTATTCTTTCACACTAGGAATTCTGACTCCCAGTGCAGAGGGATGAGTGGCCTCCTTTGTCACTCCCCTGGTTATCCCCTGGAGTCTACACACAGAGAAAGGAAAGTTCAGGGAATAGTTACTTGCCATTCCTGGCACTCTCCTACAAGCCTGTAGGATTTCATTACTGTTGATACTAAATCATTGCTTTCATGGTGCATGTTTTTGTGAATTTCACATCAATAAGGAACAATTGTAGTAAAGTCATTAAGAATGCTCTTCAAGTCAGATTGAGTATAAATGCTGATTTCTCCACTTCCTAACTGTGATATTTTAGACAAGTGTTTTAACTTCTCTGATCCTTGTATCCTCATTGGGGATTAAATGACTTAATTCATAAGAATATTAGAATTGTATTTGGCACAATACAAAACGCCTGTTAAATGTTAGCAGTCTCTTCTTCTCCTTACCCTGACTAATAGCATAGCTTTCTGAACTTGACATTATTGACACTTTGGACATGATAATTTTTTGTTGTGGAGAGGTGTCCTGTATATTAAAAATTGGACAGTACCCCTGGCCTCTAGTCATTATGTAGCAGTGGTACTCATCTCCCAGTAGCTTCAAAGAGGTCACATTCTCTACTATAAAAAGTGAAAAATACTCACAGGTCCACCTACAGCACCACCTTCTTATATTGAGATTAAAACCATATGCAATACTTCAATCTACTGACCCTGTATAAATTGTGACATGGGGATCTGAAACAACCCAGCTCCTAATGGAAAGTTCTAGTTATGTGCTCATTTAATGTTTCATGGTTAAACATTCTAAATCTACTAGGGCCCAAAGACATACAAGAAGTTATTTCTTAAAAGACATATACTTTTCCACTCTGGATGGCATGGCCTTGACTCAAAGCCCCACAGTCCTGCATAATGATTCTGTCACTGGATCTTGCCACACTCCACCTTTTCCAATCAGTGACAACTTCAGTAACATAAAGTCTGCTGAATTTTATGGCCCAAGTGCAGGGCTGTAGAGCTGCCTGCCACAGAGCCTTTTTCTACTCTTTACCCCACTCAATAGTGAATTGACTTCCATGTCACTCAGTGTGTGGGTCAGAACAGGATTCCCAAGAGTGGAATATGTTACCTCCATAAATTTTCTTTGTGATAGAGGATGCAACAATTTCTCTTTCACTTTGGAAGGGATATGCCTGCATACCTCTGACCATAGGATACAAAGTTAAGTGAAGTAGTAGCTTCCTGAATCTTTATAAGGTTCACTTTGTATTCTCTGAAGTGCACAGGTCTCATGTTGTCTCCAACATATTACACATCTCTTGCTTGTGTCACCTAATCAAAAATGTAACATCAATGTAATCAATCAGTTTTATGTTTCGTAGGATGTCCAGATGGGTTTGGATCTTTTCAGAATATCTCATGACGGAGACAGAAAAATTAACATAGCATGAGAAAAAGTGTAAATATATAACATTATCCATTTTATTTGAATGGAATCTCATTCTGATTCTCTTTTCTGATCAAAATAGGAAACATGTATCAAATGACTGTTTTCATAATGTATCTAGATTCTTATCAATCTGTTCTAGCAACCTGTATGCTATAGCAACCGTGAGCAATGAACAAAATATCATGTTCATAGCTGGCATTGAATTTCTATTTATGCAATGGAAAATATGGCAATGCATGATAGTGGTGGCTGCACAACATGAATGATCTAATTGGTTTCATTGAATTGTACAAGTGAAAAGTGTTGAACTGGCAAGTGTATTACCTATATTTTTGCAACAATAAAAATATTTTTCAAAGAATTAACATTGTCAATAAAGACACATTATAAACTAAGAAGAACACAGCTCTTTGCTATTCTTGTCAAAATGCATAGTTTGAAATTAGTCATGAGAGACCCCGTGACAAATTCAACTAAGAGACATTCTATAGACACAGCTGATGAAAATTCTTCAAACCAGTCAATATTATGCAAGACAAAGAAATATTGACAAAGTAAATCTAATGGGAGAAGGCTAAAAAGATATAATATCTAAATGCATTTTGTGATCTTGAAGTGCCTTGTGGATCAAAAGTTTTAGTGGTTACCAGGGTTAAGAGGAAGGGAGAAAAATGAAGTCTAGCTTTTGTTAAGACTGATGGGGAAGTTCAGAAGCAGATAGTGGTGATGGTTGCAAACATTATGAATGTAATTGATATCTGTCACTGAATTTACTATAAAAATGTCTCTGTGAAAAATAGTGAAATGACAAATGTTTTCTTTTACATGTACACTTTGTTGTTGTTAAGTGCCGTCAAGTCGTTTCCGACTCATAGCGACCCCATGCACAGCAGAACGAAACACTGCCCGACCCCGCGCCAGCCCCACAATCCCTG